GCAAATGCCTTCAGTTGTTGCTGCATCACTCCTTGTAGTGCCCCTGGCACTATACGTGGCCCGTCCCACGGATATGGAAAGTAATGGGCAGAGGGGAGGTGTTTCACATATGCTGAGCTGGAGGAGAGGTGCTTTTCAATTCTCCCCTGGGAATTTTTTGGAAGTACTCATATAGTTGCTCACATGTGTCTCTGGTTTATTCAGGAGTGGCTGTGAACCTGCTTCAGAGCACTTCAGTCCAGCCGATGTGGAGGTGAATGTGGCTGGGAGACACTTTCTGGGCAATGGTGCAAACAGTGGCATTGGTAAAGCCGCTGGCAGAGACAGCAAGGAGAGGTGAGCCAGGCTGTAATGAGGAGCCTGAGGGGCTGTAATGGAGACGACGGAAGGAAACATGTTAGGCCTTCCAGTGAAAACACAAAGACACAGCTCCCTGGGGTGAGGGGTTGGGTGTGTTGTTTTACAGGCCCATTAGCATGGGTTAGAGGTTTAAGCATGAGCAATGTTGTGAAAACTGGAATAATGAAACCAAATTAGTGGAGAGGATCTGCGGTGTTTCTCAAGTGCATGTTTACTGAAACTGTCTGTGTTATAGTGGCATCTGAGGATGTTGGTGATGGATCAAGGTCCATTTAGGTCTGATCCAGTACAAGGAGCAGCTTGGATGAATTTTGAAGAACTTACAAATGTACCCTATGATGAAAGAAAACACTTGGCTGTGCTAAGATGAGATGGGAGAGTATAAAAGAAGCAACATAGTTGTGCTTGATCTTAAAGATGATAACCTGCAGTTTGTGCCCTTTAACTGGTTACATGCAACCATTTTTTCTGTTGCTCACTGTAACCAAGGAGATAGTATGAACTGGAACTAGCTACTGTTGAAGGATAAAACCAATCCCTTTCAGAGTTGACAAAATAATTCCTGTTGTGGAAGAGTGGTAGGAGTTTTGGCTTGTAGAATAAAAGGGAGGAGCCTGTGGCTTTTTGCTCTCTTTGCTCAGGTTTTGTAAGTATTATGAAGGAAAGTGGTGACTCAGTTAAATTAAACTAATTCAAAATTATTAGCATCGAAGAGCCTTTGGGTTGAAGATCCCCATCAGTGCCAGGATGTGATTGATTTTCAGGTTCCCATTACTGCTATTATGTGTAATAGCCTTATGTAAGTATTGCTTTGTCTGGTGACTGTTTTGCTCACAAATGGATGTGCCTGCCAGGTTTTGCAAGCTGTCAGGCTGCCTGGATCTGCATAGGATTTGGTCACCATGTCTGGTATCAGGAGCCCTAAGAACATTGTTGGGCACAGATTGCTTGTTTGATTCCTTTTGTGGGTGTTGCTGTACATATGAAGTTAAAATGACTTAACAGTGTGTTCCTGATCCTATCCTTGAACATGTTGCTCTGAAACTCAGCATCAGTTGTTGGGTCTCTGGCTTTTACTTGAATCTCTTCAAGTACACCATGACAGGAAAAAAAGGAATTTTGATTCAGCAAAACAATGACCAAGCTATGCTGGCTTTACCTTCAACCACTTCATGTCTTTGTGAGTAATGACAGTTTGATGACAATTTTTTTAGTTCAGCTTTTCTCTGAATTGGTGTCGCAGGGTATTGCAGATTTGGGCTTTCTTCTATGTCTTGTGAACTGCACTTTCAGTTTGATGCAGTCTTCTCCCAACCACTCTGACAATTCCCATGTGTTGTTTAAATTCAAATAATTTCAATCTTTACCATGGAAAATGTATTTAAATCTGTTTCCTAGCCTGTAGGTCACACCAAAACTGTCTTCTTAACAGCAAGAAAAAAGTTCATACTCAAAGCTCTTAAAACCCACCTCTTCTTGTAGAATGTTTTCTGCTGTAGACTCTAAGAATGTTTCTGATCATCTTGAAGGCCAGATTCCATGTATTTAATTTGTACCTGCATGCGTAACTTGTGCTGTGCCCTGTTATCTGGGGGGTGTTTCTTAAACACCTGTAAATACACAACCTTAACTGCTATAAGATTTATAGTTAAAGCCCACCTTTGCAGTGAAGCTTGCAGTCACTGTGAAAACAGCCAAAGAAGTAAGCATTGGACACTGCACCTTCTGGTTGCTTGCCTTTTCTCTCACTCATGAAATCTGTTCTCCCTGCGATAAAGACTGTCTTTCATTCTGATCTGTATATATTCAGTGCCTGTCTGTGCATGGTCCCTTGCACGTATGGTCTATGTGTAACACAAACACTGGTTAGGGTTATCTGTATGGTTATCCCAGATTTGGGGGTTTCCCACTGCTGCCTGCAGTTGTGCACTTGGTAAACCAGTCGACTGTGGCAGCGCAGTGCGGTGGAGAACTGGAGAATTTCAGAAAAACCTTGAGGTTCATTGCTTGTACCAGCTGCAAGCCAGTTGTGGTGGTTTAACCATGGCCAGGTGCTCACCAAAGCCACTCTATTACTGCCCTCCTCAACTGGACAGAGGATTGGAAAATACAGTGGAAGGCTCATGGGCTGAAATAAGGACAAGGAGAGATCACTCAGCAATTACCATTATGAGCAAAACAGACTCGACATGAGGAAATTAGTTTAATTTATTACCAATCAAATCGGAGTAGGATAACGAGAAATAAACCCAAATCTTAAAAGTGCACGCACCGCCCCCTACTTCCCAGGCTTGACTCTACGTCTGAATTCTCTACCTCTTCCCCCAGCAGGGAGTGCTGCTTCATTATATGTTGTCTCTGCTGCTGCTTCTTCCTCACACTTTTCCCTTGCTCCATCGTGCGGTCCCTCCCACAAGAGACAGTCCTCCATGAACTTCTCCAGCATGAGTCCTTCCCGCAGGCTGCGGTTCTTCACAGGCTGCTCCAGTGTGGGCTCCTCTTTCCATGGGACCACAGGTCCTGCAAAGAAAAAAAAAAGAATTCCCCATCCCAAAATCAAAATGACATCATCATAACACTGGACAAAAGTGGACAATATGCACAGACAACCCACCTCTCACCCCTTCACCACAACTACAACAGAAATTCCTCATGATCATTCCACTCTCTGACATTGTTTAGTCTGTGTTTTGCCTGTTACTTCTCCCAAGTACTATCCATATCTGAAATTCCCCAAGCACCACATTGGGCACCAAAAACTTCTGTGGTGGGTTGACCTTAGCTGGACATCTGGTGCCCACCAAGCAGCTCTATCAGTCCCCTCCCCAGCATTACAAGGGGAGAGAAAATAAAAGCACAGCCCTGTGCTGTGCTCTATGGGGAGAATTAATTCCATCTCTGCAGAAAGCAGAAATCTTCCAGCTTTCTAACTACATTCACTCCTTGTGTCCTAAACCTTGCATTTGAGGTCTTTTGACAGACCCCATTGGTATTTTTGGCGTGTCTGCTCTGCCTGATGGTACAGCTGGGTCAGTGCCTTTTAGGGGGAATTTGTCCCTGAGAATGGTCCAAGGCTGCTGGAGCTGGGACTGCTATGGGTTGCTATGGCGCTAACCAGCTCCCTGCTTCCAGCTCATCAGCTGGAGTCATGGGAGCCCTGAGGAATCCACAGACCTGGGCTTCAGCGGCACTGGTGAAGAGCCACCGCTCAGCTCTTGGCAGCAGAGAAGCGGGACTGTTAGCAAAGCTCAGGAATGTTCTGCCTGCTGGGAAGCTCCCATGGTATTCCAGTGACTGTCTGACAGTATTGCCACTGCTACTAGCAGGCTACAGGCTTCCCACAGACTGGAGCTCAGTCACAAAAGGCTTTTTGTTTCATTTGATTTGTACCAAAACGTAACCCCGAACAAGAACTGCAATTTGCACATCGCTGCCTGGCCCTCCCTCCGTGCTGACGGGCACAGCCGGTAATGAACCATCAGCTGTGTTTCTGGTCGGGATCCACCAGGTGGCACGGTTCACCTGGGCTGCAGAAGTAAGGCGTGAGCTGAGGTCGTTAGAGGAGAAATAGTGACAGGAACGGGCAATCAGGTGAGTTGTTCGTCAGTCTGTTGTTCGCTCCTAGAAAGATTGTTAATATTAAACAACCTTGAGGTATTGAGGCCTTGAGGTATTCTGTTTCGTCATTCTGCTGTTGTACTTATAATGGTATTTTCATATGGACATGGAAATATCTAGTAGTTTATCATCCATATGGTTTGAAGAGATTTCACTACGTGATGCTTTCTGTCATTAATAACATCACCACCAGCATGCTGTTCTATTTAATCTTTGTTGTCGGTAGGTTCTGTGCTGTCTTACTATTCTACCTTCGTGGCTGAGGCTTTTAAAAGTTAATGCATTGCAACACTCTTGCAACAACATTTATGAATCTACAGCATTGAAGTGGAAAGTTTTATGTGTCTGAATAACATGTTCTCGATTTGCTAAGCTCAGCTGCTCTGTGAAGTCCTGTGTGTGGTCCTAGTTCCATGTCCCACATACTCTTCCATCTCATTTTCTTATACATCTCTCCCTTACCTCCTCCCTTCTGTTGGATATTTTTGCTTCCACGTGTATCACTGCACAGTATACCCCTGTAGCTGTCACTGCTGCTTTTGCTAATTGTTCAGGAGGGTGTGCTTATGGAGAAGTGCAGTCGTTGTCTTCCTATCTTGGTGTACTGGTTCTGGTAGGGACAGAATTAGTTTTCTTCATAGCAGTTCGTGTGGTGTTATGCTTTAGATTTGTGACCAAAGCAATGTTGACAACCCATGGTTTAGTTATTGTTGAACAGTGCTTGCACAGCATCAAGGCCTTTTCTGCTCCTCACCCTACCCCACCAGCAAGTGGATTAGGGGTAGACAAGAAGCTGGGAGGGGACATAGACAGGACAGATGACCCCAACTGACCAAAGGGATATCCCAGACCATATGATGTTGTGCTCAGCCATAGAAGCTGTGGAAAGAAGGAGAAAGCAGGGATAATCACAGTTATGGTGCTTAGCTTTCCAAATCACTGTTGCATATGATGCAGCCTTGCTTTCCTGGGGATTGCTGAACACCTGCCTGACAATGAAAATTAGTGAATGAATTCCTTATTTTGCTTTGTTTGCACACACACCTCTGCTTCACTTATTAAACTGGCTTTATCTCAACCCACAAGTTTTGTCTGTTTTACCCTTCTGATTCTCTCCCCCATCCCACTGGAAAGGGAATGAGTGAGTGGTTGTATGGGGCTTAACTGCCTACCAAGGTTAACCCACAGCACTTGAATGGAGAGCTGTCATCATGTTAAGTAGTGACTTGGCTCTTGAACACAGTGTTTTGATTCCAATAATAGTTTTTTAAGTGGATCAAAAATTCTGAAGACTTTTTATGGTTAGAGATACCATATTGACTAAATTTCTGCTCACTGGTTTCAGCTCCCTAGTGTGACACAACCAGCATTACACTTCAGTTCTTTAATGAAGGTGAATTAGATCAGTCCTTAAGTAGAAATAAATACTTTCCAGCTGTCTCTAACTATGTAATCCCATGGCTACAGTAAGACTGGTGATTATCTGTGTTATCTCTTTTTCTAACTGCAGTCAGACAGCCTGGGAAGAAGGGTGAGTCTGACCTCTGAAGGTTTCTTCGTGTTCTGTTTTCTGTCATTTGTTGGAACAAAACTTGAGGCCAATAATGTTCTTCCACTAAAAGCAGCACAATTACCACATTCCCACTTTTTGGTAGGCTGCAAACCTGTAGTTTCCCTAGTCATGAAAGAGTATGAGGGCACTGCGGTACTTGTTTGTCACCCTGTGGATAGGGCGCTTTTATAGGAAGCATTCAGTGAAGTGTTAGACAAGCTGTACAAGGAGTCCACCAGAACATCCTTCTTTGTAAGTGCTTATTCAGAAGCAATCCAGGCTGATAATAAAATGCTTTATCTGCAGCTTGACAAGCTGTATCCAGCCTTAACTTGCTCTTCCTGATCGTCTGAACAGAGATACTGTTGTAGTATGCACCAAAGATTTTCCATCTTCCACAGCAACAGGCTGTGGAGTTGGAACATGCTGGAATTTAGTGCTGTAATGGAGTTATTTGGCAGGCGCTATTAACTACAGAACTAACAGAGCTAACTATAAAGTTGTCCTAATATGTTAAAGTAGATCTAGTTGCAGAGATTAGGTCTCATTTTGAAAATGGCTTTGCTACCATCCAGGACTTTCATAGGGAACAGGCCTGTGTGTCCTTTTTCTGAACCAATGTGACAGTCTTAGGCAGATAAGTGTTAATTGGCATCATTTTCACTCTCTGAAATCACTTGTAATATTGAATATTTACCCAGAAAACTTCAGCTTTTCTGTACCAGTAGATAATGGTGGCGGCTTTAAAACTAGAAAGCTCTTGGAGTGTTACTGAATTAGGAACAGCAGAACAGCTTTTGGTCAGAAATGAACATTACAAGGAGAAAATTCTGGCCTAACTTAAAATAAGGAGCTGAAATCCAGTGGCTTGACAGAAAAAATCATGTGGTTTTTATCTTCAGGCAAGCAGTATTGTAGGCAGGGAATAATGCCTTACAATTTTCTCAGCTTCTTCTCTTACCTCATTTGCTTGTATAGTGAGTATTTAAAGAAGCAACTTGGAAAGAGAGGAGGCCATTTAATGATTATTTGTTGTTTTGCATGAGAACACATCCTCTGCATAATTATTTTAAAACTGCCTTTTCCTGGGATACGTCATTGGACTATCTGTGGAGAGTCTTTGAGACTAAGTGTTATCCAGGAGAAGAGTAGGAGTTGACATGCCTTTTGTATGCTGATAAATGCCACTGTGCTTGTACTGGGTAGAACACAAATCTGCAAAAAGCAAGAGAATTGCCTTAACAAACAGTAAAAGGTTTTTGATGTTTGGAGAGAGGAAATATTTCTGGCTTTAGTGGTTTAGAAAATTATAACTTTGCTCTGTGTCAAGCTTTTAAATTTCTTCTTTTTATTGTATTTCATCCACATTCCTGGCCATAGTAGTTAAAAGCATTACAAGGCTGTTGTGACATGGGGTGGCTAACAAGGACTTAGCAGTTAATGCAGCATGAAAGAGTGGGCAGAAGGCACCCAATACTCTGAGGCAGCTGGAGTGGGCACCTGAAAGGGTGCTCTCCTGCCCTGGTTGGAGTGGCTGCCCCTGGCATGTGGGAGCCTGACCTCCACAGAGCTCCAAAGGAATGATGTGGCAGATGTTGGGCATCAGGGAATGACTGGTGCTTTTTCCTGAGCCTGGGGCAGAGCATGATGGTGGCCTCATCTGCTGGGTTCTGCTGTCATCAAAGTGCTGGGCTGCCAGGTGAAGTGGCAGCAGGAGATGAGCCGGCTGCATCGCCATAGGGAACAGAAACAGGAGATTGACAGGATCTTTGCAGAGAGTAGAAGAGCAAAAACCCCACATTGCATGGAAGAAGGGACAGGTAGAAGCTACGCTTAAATAAGTGGTGGATAAAGACTCCCAAGATGAGGAGGAATGGAAGCTGGGGACTGGGGACTGCTGGCAACAGAAGGCACGCTCGTTCTCTGCCTGCAGATGTGCATTCATAAGGTAGGTATAGTGCCATGGTAACAGATGAGGAAGAACAAGTTCTGTCAGGGTAGGTGTTGGAGACAAATGAGACTGAACCAGTGGTTGTCAGCACTGGGAGGAAGTGGTGGGTGATTATGGCTGGAGGCTCCCTCCGCTGGGGGATGGAGGCATCCGTCTGCAGTCTTGGCTTGATGTCTTGGGCAGTTTGCCTCTTTATGAGAAGTCAGGTCTGGGGTATTGGGGAGAGTCTGCTGAGGCTTGTCTGGACCTGAGACTAGGACCATTTCTTGCCCAACCACATGGGAACCCATGGTATTGTGAGTGGTGACCTTAAGCTCATGAAGAGCACTTAGAGAGAGTGAAGGGCATAAGAGTCCTAATAGTGCTCTCCAGAGGGCTTTGGTAGGAGCAGGTTAACACCTGAATGTGCCACTGGTGTCTCTTTGGCCTTTGTCATTTTGCCTTTGTCCTTTATGACCTTTTTGACCTTCTCTGAAAAACAAGCCTTGCTGAGCAGTAGTGGCAAAGTGGAGCAAAAGTATCTTTGCCAAATAGCTTAGGTTTGCTAAGGTAGTGAGAAGGGCTTTAAACTGGTTTCCAGTTTAAAGGATGGTGACCAAACCCAGAACAATAGTGGGGTCATGGGGAAAGTGAGTACATTTCTAGCATGTGACAGCAAAACGTAGGAGGCTATCAATTTTCATGTGAAAGTAACATAACTGGAAGCCCATCTCAGATGCCTGTACATGAATACACATAGCATAGGAAACACAGGAATCCATGTGTATTTGCAGAGCTGTGATCTCACTGCAATTAGAGAGATATGGTTGTCATGACTAGAGCACTGGCATGGTTGTATACAGACCCTTTTAGAAAGGCAAGGGGAGACAAGGAGGAGGAGTTGTGCTCAACACAAAGTAGTGACTTCAGTGCATGGAGCTTTGCTCTGAAATGGGTAATGAGCCAGTTGAGAGTTTATGGGTAAACTCTCAACTGAGAGTCACAGAGGTCAGATCAATATGGATGATGTCATGGTGGGTATCTACAAAGACTGCCTAGCGAAGTAGACGGAGCCTTTTTTAGAGGTCTAGGGAAGCCCCATCATTACAGGTCCTGGTACTCATGAAGCACTTGAACCATCCTGATACCTGTGGCAGAACAGCAGGGCATAAACAATCCAGGAGATCTCTGGAGAGCATTGAGGACAATGTTTGATATGAGTGTTGGACAAGCCGGCTAGGGGTCATCTCTGCAGGGCCTGCTATAAATAGCAGTTTTCAACAGCTGGTGGAAATGCCCATGAGACTGTGGAATTTAAGATCGAGGCAGGTGAGAAGGATAAGTAGTAATTTACAGTCTTTTGGTTTAGTAAAGCAGATTTTGGGAGACAGCCATGGAGAGCAAAAGGACTTGGGAAAGGTGATTATCCTCAAAGAAAACTTCCTCAAAGTGGGAGGTGCTTTCTGTTACCTGGAAAGAGGCAAACCACTCATCTTCAAAAAAGGCAAGCAGGATTTAGGGAGCTACAGGCTGGTCAGCCTCACCTTGATCTCCAGGAAAATTATCGAGCAAATCCCCATGGAACACAGGAAGGTGATTGAGAACAAAAGTGTGGATTTATCAAGGGCAAACCTGTCCTGACTGTGCTGGCTGCTGCCCCTTTGGTGAGATGACTCTGCCTATAGACCAGAGAGCAGCGCTCACCACTTTTCCTCCACTTTGCCAAGACTTTTACATGGTCTGCCGTAGTATCCTTGTAGTCAGTTTGGAGAGGTGTGATTTGAACTGTTGGATGACAAGCAGGGTGGAACACTATGTGGAACATATGGCTCAGAAAGTGGCAATTAACAGTACAGAGCTGATCTGTTAACAATTTTTTAGTGTCATCCCCGATGAGTCAATACAGGAGCAAAAGCTACTGAATGTCTCTTAACAACCTGGGTGATGGAGTGAAGTGCAGTCTTTGCCAGACTGCAGATGATCTCGGATCAGAGGGGAAGCTGGAGAGATGGGCTGCTACTCAGAGGGATTTGACAGGTGAGGAATTGGGCTGGCATGAACCTTGTGAAGTTCACCAGGAGCAGATGCACAGTCCTGCCCTGGGATGGAGTAACCCCCTGGAGCAGTACGGGCTGGGACTGGCTGGCTGGAGAGCAGCTTTGCAGAGAAGGACCTGGGGCTGACAAGCTGTCACTGTCTGCCCTGGGGTGAGGAAGGCCAGTCACACCTCAGGCTCTGTGAACATGACTCCATGGAGCATCTTGTCTCTATTAAGCCTTTGTGAGACCACAGCAGGAGTCCTGTGCCTAGTTTGGGGTTCCCCAGCATGAGGAAGTCATTGATGTCCTGGAGCAAGTCGAGCTGCCACGGTGACTAGGGATATGGACATGTGATGTGCAAGGAGAGGCTGAGAGGGCTGGTTTTGCTCAGTGTTAAGAGGAGAAGGTTGAGATGCGTCTTACTGTAGTGTACAGTTGTGAGATGGGACAGTGTAGAGAAGGCAGTATCATGCTTCCCTTGGAGGTCTGCAGTGGAAGGACAAGAGGCAGCAGACACATATTGCAACAGAGAAAAATTCTGACTAGATAGTAGTATTTATTTGTTTGGGTGTTGTACCATGAGGATGGTCAAACACTGGAGGAACATGACTGTGCATATTTTAAGGACTAGAATTAGAATTTCCAGTTGTCCATGTTAACCTAAGTGCTTTACTTTGTGTTCTGGAGATAATATTTTTTCATACTGCTTAAATTCCTTTTCACCTAGAGAGGTTTTAACAGTGAACAGGGGCTTTCACTGTTCCTGTTGCCTGTAACTTGTTTTTTTATTACTTTAGAATATGTTTTTGCATATTGTGGATATATCTAATCCCAAGGAAGTCTGGAAGTTTGCTGAAAAATTCAAAAATGAACATAAATGAAAGGTGTTCGTAAGTTTGCACACTTAAATCCTGAGTCTGTCTTTGGAGCGCACAGCCTATGAAGTTGTCCAACAGGTAGTTTGGATTTCACAATTTGGCCCACAATTCTCTGCTTAATTTGCTCTAAATGTGTTTGCAGTAGCCTCCATGTCTGTTTACTCTTGTCCAGTCTCAACTCACTTACAGAGAAATGCTACAAAAAAGAGAGAAAGGCAGTAATTCTTTAGCTGCATATTTTGAGGTTCTTAGTACACATTTTCTGTTCAACTCTCATTACCATTTTTAGGTTTTATACTCCACCTTTTTCCTGTATTGCTTCCTTAAGTCCTATTTACTTTGGAAACCAACATTTTAGATATGTTTTTTGCTTAGCTGATATGCTACATACAGCTTATTTTTTTCTGCAAGTCTGACTACATTAAAGTGACAATTAATTCAAGTGTAAAGGCACAGATTCATTTTCTTCTGCTGACTTTCTTCTGTTTCTCATTGTCAGAATTCAAAGCGAATTTTATTTTGCCATCAAATCTCCCCTGCCTGCAGAAGTACAAGAACTTCCACCTTGCAAAATGCATTCGCCTCAAATTAGTTTAACCCTCCTGTGGTCTCTCAGACAAAAATCCAGCAATGTGCAAAGGTGCAGTTCTTCCAGAAGCAGAGTGAAACAAATGCAACAGTCTGAATACAAAACTATGTTTTGGTTTAGTTTTAAGCACTGAGGAAATTAAATGTTGAGGAACTGTGCTAGTGCATCACTTGAATTAGATTTTATCACACAAGTAGAAACATCAAGTTCTTCTTTCCAGGCTGTAAATCAGCCCCACTAGAGAGATTTAGCTGCACAGAGGAAGCTGAATAATGATTACAGTGAACTAGGGGAGTTTCTGTATTACCTTTTATGAATGCTACATGTAGATCTCCTTTGTTCATTTGTATATCACTTGCTGCATTACTGTATAAGAAGGTCAAGGAGGTGACTGTACATTTGAGCAGATAAGGTAAAACAGGTAAATTAGCCTCTTGTCCAACTTCTGCAGAGTTAAGGCAGAGGCTGGGCTGTTTGCTCAAACTGGTTCTCTCTAAGCAACAACGAGGATTAATTTCTGAAGCTTTTAGGATCAAGTGAGACTTGGTTGAGCTGGAAGAGGCTGCCTGTGCAAGAGAAAGCTTCTGTGCGTGCAGGTCAGACACACGTGAAGGATCAATGCTGTCAGTGGTGCAGGGGTTTTCTCTTCAAAGTCAGAGATGGGGTAATAAACCATATTTGCTGGAGTCATAGTAGGAGAAAGTTGCGTGGAGAGATGGCTTTCAGAGTAGACGCTGCCTTAAATCATTTCCGTAAAAACTAGGTACTTTACTTTGGAGAAGTTATTTCTGTATAGGTAACTATCCATGGTTATAGGTTAGTTCTCTTTTTAGCCAGATAAAAACTTGGCTAAGTTAGATATGGCTGATATGTAGGTTGGCTGTAAACTAGGATGTGGGCTAAGACAACAAACTAAATTGCCCTTTCTGCCTCTTCCCCAGAAAACCTAAAGCCTGAAGGATGACATGGGTTCAAGATCCTTGTTTGAAAATCTGCAGTCGTCCCCCTCATCAGTGGCATGGAAACAGTAAGTCCTGACTGCTTGATTTCTGCAGAAATAAGATGGAATAATATGATTTTTTTCTTTTTTGCATCTTCACATGCAATGTATTCCTTCCATCTTTTGTTCACTGTTGTTTTTCTACCCTGGATCTTAGCTCTGGTCTAGTAAAGGAGCATGTAGATTATAATTATCTAAGAATATAGGACTCTGAACTGTAACATGCTTTAAATGCAGGGCATAGTCTTTGAATTCTGTGTCTGAGTAACATTCATATAAGCTGTAGAACTATACATCTGAAATGCTGAGGAGCTTTTAAACCAAGTCTATGAATATTTTCCTCTTGACTGACTTGTTAGTCTGTTTTCAAGCATAATGGATGTTAGAGTTCAGTTCTAATTGGTCATCTGACTTGCGAAACATACATTGTATCCTGATCTTTTCTTGGATGTATGTGAGGCAAAAATGAATGCACACATCCTCGGGTAGGTAGGATTAATATGTTCAAAAATAATACTGGTTAGATTAGAAAGTGAACTTCCCTTAATGTGGAACACCACTGACTGGCTAATTGAGGACAGCTCACTGAAAGAGGAGGGGCAGAGTCCTCTCTGGTGTTGTCAGAATATACAAGTGGGTGAAGGTCATGAAAATGCAAAGTGCATGTTGACAGTTCAGGCTCTGTATGGTTTGTCAAATATTCGAGTTCAAACTGCATTGAGCAGGCAGAGGCAGCCGTATCTGTACAGGTGCCTAACATCCTTAAAATGGGGCTCAGATACAAACACATGTGGCTTGTTGTGGTTCTGTTATTGCTCTCACATGAAATATCTTACCTTTTTTCCCTGCTAGGTCCCCAAGAATTGTTGCTCTGATTGCTGGAGCTCAGTGAGGGTGCAGAAAGCGCAATAGCTGTGGAGCACTTACTCTGTAATGTGGGAGCACTAGCCAGACGTGCTTCTGAAACAGCACATTGCTGGTTGAATCACACCATCAGTATGAAACCAAGTGACTGCTTTGGGGTAACGTGGGCACACTTCCTGGGGAGCTGCCAGTCCTGACGGGCAGGATTTATATGTGTATCCTTTAGTTAGTGTGTTGTTGCCCTTATGTTTCCTCCCATAGACTGGCCTTGTGCTCAGGGTTGTATCCAGGAGCTGGGCAGTGACAAACAGTCATTTCTTCTGATGAGACTTGCGGACTTCTGAGCCAACACTTCCTTTTTTTTAATTTAGTTTTATTTTCCTTGTCTTATTAAAACTCCCAACAAAGACTATTCAAACTGGCAGTATTCAGTCCTGTCAGCATTGGTAGGCAAGTGGATGTGACAGCAGCATGTTCTTATTGAAGCACTAGACATTTAACTGAAACAATCCTTGTTTTATACCCTGCCTCACTTTACTTTTACTCAACACATCTTATTGCCTGACATGGAAAAATGGCCTATATGTCATATTTTTATTGCTACTGACCAGCCAAGGGGATGCTAAAACACAGAGATCAATAAATAATGCTCCCAGTATGCATCTTTTCTTCAGTCTAATGTGCTCTCATGTTTTAATAATACAGCCATATACATTTACTGTCTGTGCAAGAAGGGGTAGGCCAGAGAAAATAAGATGCTTTTCTACAACAGTAGCAGTACAGCCCATGTATAGCAAATTGCCTAACCTGTATGGATATTGGTCAGTCTGTTCCCTACATGTAAACCATATCTAACTGGTGTTTCACAGAAGGCAGAGTGGCCTGGCAGACTCTGTTCTGAACCGCTTGGAAGCCAGGCAACTTGGATATCAGCCGTCAGTCTGCCACAAGGTCACTGCCTCATCTTTGGCACGACAACTTTACCTGTGAAAAGGAGACTGTGATACCATTTTTCTTTCTAAAGAGCTTTGAAACTTAGGGGTGAGAAGTGCTACATACAGGATAAGGTTGAATATAATTGCACATCCACTAGCTGTACTGAAGCCTAGGTTCCCAGGACACAGAGGAACCCTTATTGAGCTGAGCTTTGTAATTCAGGGGAAATGTAAACCTTTGTTTTGTCTTCATGTTCATTAGCTCTTCCTGTACACTGTTATTGCTAGTGTGGTAGAATTGGGTCTCGGAGACAGTACATTAAAATCTTCATTCCTGATCTTGTACTCAGCAAGCAGACTCAAGGATGTCTCTTACTTGGAACTGCATAAAATGAAGGCTTGACAAGATAACCAGGTCAAGGAAGACTCAGTGTGTTCTTTTTTAAAACCTTGAACATAAGAAAAACAAGCCAGTTTAACTGATTTTTACCAGATGAATGAGCCATTGAAATCTGTACAATAAAAAGTGAGGTTTTTTTGTTCCCACTTTTTTCGCAATTGAAATAACACTGTTCCTAATAATACTGTAAAACTCAGGCAGATGGGAAACTTCACTGAGTGTGGTGCTGGCTGCCTGCCCTTATCTGAATGTTAGCAGATTAAAAACCTCACCAACAATTTACCACTAAGTGCCAAATAGAACATCAAGCAAAAATTATTCTAGAATCCACCAAGGCACTTGGGTCTGCAATAATTGCATCATCAATTAATTTGATGTTATAAACAGGTAGTGGCTTTACAAAATTACTTCTGCTGAAATCGTAATTTTCTTTATAAATCAATTCTGAAGTACAGGTTTTAGGGTCACTTTAAATCTGTAAAACAGAGAGAGGTATGTATTAGTGTACTATTACTATACGTGCTATCCTGTTGACTTCCAAGTCTGAAATATGAATCCTCAGGAGTCTTCCAGGTTTTAGCAGGCTAAAGCTGATTTTCACCACCAGCATTTTGGAAATGTGCCTTTTCAGTGTTTGTTTATATTTTCTGTTAGGGCTATTCTATGTTTTGCTTAGTTTCATGTTCTAGTACAGAATGATTTGTAGCCCTCTGTGGGATAGACCAGTGTCTAATACACTGTGGACTTCTGTCCCTTGCATGGGGATAGCTTTCACTTTGATTGTACTGTGGTAGAGATGGTGAGACCCACAGAGAACTAACTGTTGCAGGAACATGCAGAGCTACCTTCCTGCAAAACCCAACTATAGTGTTTTCCACAGAGTCCCCTCAGCTTCTACTTGTGATGCGAAAGGAGCGTAATTTTATTTAGGAGTTTATGCAGCAGTTTATGTCAGCCTTTTGTGCTTTGTTTTAAACAACTTAGTGCACAAATTGAATGTTTATCTCCGTAACAGCTCCTCATTTTCTACTCTTGCATCATCAAAGTTTCACTCTGTGATTGTGAAGGCACTGAACTACTGCTCATACAGGGTGACAGAGGAGTTCACTGGATGGAGTTAAAACCAGGAGTGGTTAATTAGACCACAATATGACATTACTCAACTAAATTGGGAAGACCTTGGAGCAAGTGGAGCAATTACAAAACAGACCACAAGGGAATGTGTGCAATTCATTTTTTTTAGTAAGTAAACACGAAACTTAAATATTCATGTGATCAGCACTTGGGCCGGAGTATGTATGAACAAAGTGTGTTCTCATTAAGTGCCGTGCTCCTTGCTTTTACTGCAGACTGACAACCCACAGTGTCTAACCTGCTGTATGACAGAGCTGGTTGAATGGAGTTGCTGTACCCTTATAGGAAGGTTTTGATTACAGTGTATTTATTATACATGATTTCCTATTATGTGAGCTCAGCTTCAAGACATACACCTTGCAGGAATTTTTCCAAAGAAAAGCAAACGTTGAGTGGATGTTTATCTTCAAAAGAAATTGTGCATCAATCCCAGGAGCCTCTTTAACTGGAGAAAACATTGACAGCAAGTTCTGTGTCAAACCTCTTTATGTGGAACTGGGCTATAGCTTGTCCAGTAGGTTTTTCTAGTCAACTTCTCACCTAGCAGACTTCAGCAAGGGCAAGATGAACTCCTGTGCATAGGGATGATAGACTGGATGGTTACTCACCTGCTTCTGCCTTCCTGCTGGTTTTTGCTGTTTCTGAGCAAGCTCCCAAATTCTTCTTGGACTCCCAAATTCCTGGACTCCTTTGTGGAACAACAAATACTCCTTTTAAATGGGAGTGTTGTAAACCATTTCACTGCAAAATTATTTATTCCCCACCAGTACACCAGTGGGAGTCAAGCTTTCAGGCCGTGTAGACAATATACCTTCCAATGCCTGGAAAAAGTGATGTGTAAGAGTCTGGCCTCTGTCACACAGTCACAGATGCAGGTGGTATGTCCAGCACTGCTGTGTAGGTGTACTCATGGCTCCCTGCCTGCTGGGTCTGAAATGTGTGTCAGAGAGAGGCTGCTGGTCGAGTTCCCACCGTGTGTAATTCAAAGCAGCCTGCTCCTTCCTGTAGGCACTCAGACCTGTGCAAGAAATGGGACATAGTCCAGGAGAACTGTTCAGACAGAAACATCCTGCTCCCAGGTGCCACATGTCCTCTGTCATGGATAGAGCTGCGGGGAAACAGACACTGGGAAATGTGGTGGCCTCAAGGCTGAGCACCTTCATTCGCAGAGTATCTGCTTGAGACAAGAACACACTTTCCTCAGAAACCCCTGGGAGTAGTGGCAGTTCTTGTTTTCTGGGGAAAAAAAAGGTCTTTGTTTCTGACAGAATCCCTGAGCCCTCTCAGAGGAGGGGCAGGATCACCAAAATACCCCAATGCTTAATGCTTTTGGTGCAAGGCACATACATCACTGTTGATCATTGCCTTTCCCCTCCATGCGCCTTTGTGTTCTCTTTTGGTCTTTTTAAACAAAAAAACCAGCAAACCCAAACCAAACCTCTACAGTTTGAACACAGAGATAATGAAGCATTAATCACACTTGATATGCTTTACCATCTTTAATTAAGCTCTGCAGGAGGAGGTTTCTCCTTTGACAGACATAAATGATTTTTGCGTCAAGGAAATGTGCTAGAATGCTGAAGTGTTCATTTTGGAAAGGCAGATGTCCAGTGTGCTGATATTAATAATGAGTTATTAGCAAAAGGATATACAATTTCAAAGTTGCCTCAATCTCCTTAAGTGGGGGGAGAAGGGATTGGGTTTTCTTCTACCAAATTAGTCTTGGTTTTCCTTGCAGAATTGTTTTTTTACTAAAAACAAGGAATTTTTCCCTTTTCAGTTTTTATACCATTAATGCAATTTATGCTTTTATAAGCAGGACTGTGGCAGGCAACACATTCATCTGTGGCTTCCCCTTTCACTTAGAAATTCATTTCTGTATTACTGCCTGCTGCAGTACAGTTGTGCTTGGCAACACATATGCCATGAGACACATGGCAGTGCCAGGCCCCTGCACTGGCCGTACTTAGCATTCTTCCTATTGGTTTGAATGTAACTATCAAACTACTTGCCAGCTTTTATGTGAATAAAGATGTGGAGATTTCAATTGATGATGTATCCCAACTGACAATATATCTCTTATTAATACGGTACATCTACCCTACTAATATTGTACAACATTTCTGGTCCAAGCTGTTTTGCCTGACAAACCAGCCCATGCAAATAAGAACATATTTATATTAATCCAAGTATATTGGTTAAAGTACTAAGGAGTTTGTGTTCAGTCACTTAAAACCAGGACAATATTTGGTGAAATATTTTTGTACTGGGAGAAATTAAACACTTCAGTCTTAATGTCTGTCTAACGATGTGTTGCAACTGTGTGTTTTGAGATACTAGTGCTTACCATAGGAAGTTGAGATCAAAACTGGTCTTTTTGCCCTCTGTCTCAAAACAAATGAGCAAGTGGTTTTGTGGGGCAAAATGATGGCGTGGTCTGGCTCTGTGGGATTTATTGAGTTGTTAATAAACTCGGGGAAGAGAGGAGACGCTGGCTTTGCAGTTGTTTTGTGGTTTAAAATAAGCGCATAAACTTCTGACAAGCTGTAGTTGCTATAAGCAGGATTTTTGGCATTGAACATTTGTCTCATCCAGCTGGAAAACAAAACAAAACTCAGTTGTTAATGAGGAAATGTTAGTGCATTCATCTTTGCATCCCTTTAGAATTAACAAATCAACACAAAGCCCTTTAAAATTGTAGATTAATCTGTGGGACAGTAAAATCAAGCAGCATCATAGCTGGTGCATTGCACCTCTGCCTGTAGGAGATGCAGCTTATTTAACCAAGACATGGTGTTATTTGCTCTTGAAGAATCCACAGCAAACCAGAATTTAATCCATGCTCTCAGCTTGTACGGAAGGAATTGGTATATTTGGGGTTTTTCACATGGCGGCAGTCTCCCGTGACAGTCAGCAGTAGCTCTTGTCCTCATGGTGTCACCCTTCAGTCTCCCCACTGCTACCAGGGCAGACGTATGGGCTCTCATTATTCACCAGCAACTGCCTCTGCCCGCATTTTCTGCTGAAGACAGGCTGCATTCACTCATCTGCTGTGCATTCACTTTGTTTGGTTTGCCAGGGGTTTAAATATACTGTGTGCATATGGGTGTCCCTCTGATTACAGAGAGGAAACGAAGATCGCTGTGACTGACACGGGAACTGAACAGTTTGTGCACCAAGCATGTAACATGTTTGATTTTGTTAGCATATTTATAAACATGCTGTATTTTAACTGGGTGATCTCACCGCCTCTGTGGAAGAGAGGTTATAAAGACACATGTTGAAGTCTTCATGTCTGGTGGAAAACGTGGCCTTGGTAGCTCATGGAAAATAATATGTTTATCACTGATATGGAATTGTTGAACTGGAGCCATTTGTGAAGAGATGAGAGGGATTATTTTACTTGAGGCAGAAACAATAGACTAAATAGGGCTAGATTCATTTGGGATTAAACAGAGTTTTTAAAATACAGTTTAAAAGTGAAAAATGAACAATATCCCTAAAGAGAGAAAAGAAAAATCCCTGTGTTGCACTTGAGTGGGTGAAACATCACTAGGTGTGTCTGACTCAACTGCACTAGTGTTGAACAGTGTTTTGAATAACAAACTTTGCTGGTCATGGTAACAACTGTAATGGAATATATTTGTGTGGTATGTAGAAATCTAAGCTAAATGAACACTATTATAACGGGGACGGACACAGTTAAGTTTCCCTAAGTATCTTAGCTCGGCCTTGGGCACACAGCATTAATATTCCACCCTCCACCCCCCGCCAAGGACTCCTTATCTTCTCTAATAGTCATGCTGGGGATTTAAGAGGCGTTTTTTGTGTGCAGCACAAATCAAAAGTGTCAGCGTACTCCGAGTAATTTCACAGTGAGAAGGCAAAAATGGACAAGCCTTAAGTGCATATGCAAGGCCCTGAGAAACACAAGTGTGAAGCACAGTTTGCTTCTCTTGTTCATGACTTGGCATAGATATATATATGCATGTCACACAGGGAGGAGAAACACATTCCCTGTTTTCTTCACTGGCACCACCTCCACTCAAGGAAATCCGTACCTGAGGCATTTTGCCATCAGTCATGGCTGAATGTAGTGAGCAGTTTGCTCTATAAGTACAATAAACATAAAAGTCTATAAAATAACTCATGTGCCTTTTGGTAAGCAGCAACGTGGACCACTACAAGCTGAGTTGGCGTATTGCAAATAGAGCAGCAACAAAAATCATCATTAAATTCAGATCAAGTGTCAGAAATAAAGAGGAGTTTGGGTCGTTACAGAGGGTGGGGAGGGAAGAAAGATTTTCTGAAAACAAAAGTCAGCGTTGGTGCCTGTCTGTCTTTTAGGTACTTTCATTCTGACAACTGCTCTGCTGCCCCTCCTGGAAAAAGCAGCTGGTGCCAGAGCAGTGGGTCTGTGATGCTGTTGAGAAGCGGTGGTTTACTATTCTTACCTTCTGGGTTGTGACGGCGTGTCTTTGGCTGTGCTACCAATGCAGGACTAGTTATATTCTAGTAAACACCTCTAGAATCTTCTTGCATTTTGCTCACACCCACCTCCTTCTCCAAGCAAAAGCTCATGTCTGCTGCTCTCAGCCCTTCACTGGAAATCAAAGTAAACACTTCCTTTGGAATCTTTCCCTTTTACTTTCCCTGGGGCAAGTTATCTGTTGCAGTGTAGTGCAAAATAGCTATAACAGGAGTACAGAACCTCAGAGATCTTGGTGTAAAATAGATCTTGCTGTAAAATAAACAGCAGGTATATTTTTTAGATTAAATTTCTCAGGTTTTAAAAAGTCTCCTGCTTTTTAATTACCTTTTATAAATGCTAAACTTATAAACTACAAATAGTTTAATTCTGCTATTTTCTTTCTCTCAATTACTTTCCAAAAGGCAGAAGCATGAAGTTCCCTGAAGGAGTCAACACCACTTTGAATGAAAATCTATTCCTAAAAAACATTCTATTTTTTCCACCTCATCTCCATGTATGCTCCACACATGAGCACAAGCAGAATGCAAAGAGTATGCTGAGGAATCCTGCTCCCTAGGGGCTTCCAAATACGGCCTGAAGACCACATTACATGCATGAGTGCACTTGTGGGGAGTTCCTGGTTCTGTTTTTCACTCACTTGCTTTGCATTCATTTGATAACTGCCTCTTCTGGGGCCATGCTAGTTCAAAACCTAAAACAAATCTGACTTGCAGCTGGGAAATGGGACATTTGATGGAACTATGGTGTATGCACAAAAGAAGGTACATTTCATGTTTTGAAAACAAAGCCCAGCACGTGTTTGCTAGATGGCTTATACCACCTGCTTGGCAACAAACCTGTTGTTCACTGTTGCATGCCCATTGCATCCAACCTATACAAAGACACACAAGCAATATTTTTCAGGAGTATGATGGCATGGGCTTATGAGCACATACAATCTTGCCTAGAGAGCATGGCTAGACTTTCATTTGATGTAAAATAAGTCTCAAGGGGGAAAACTGTCTCTTGCTGACAAACCCTTTCTGCCTGCTTAGTTCTTCCCTACAGTCTGCAGCAGCAGATGTGGTCAGTAAAAGCAGTATAACCACTTTAAAAGTAAGCTTGTGGTCAGGATATGGGTTGCAATGACCATGGTGGTCTCTGACAAAATTATCCCATAGATCCAGTCAGGATGAACAAGGGTGTATTCCTGCCATGCAGAAATGACCTGGTATTTACAGCACATTTGATGTAGTTTATCTCCCTGGGAGCTAACTTAGCGGACAGGCTGCTGAACTTGATGCTAGTCTGGCTATTTTTGCTGTGTCCTGACAGAACAATGGGCAAAAGCTCATGGGAACATCCATTTCTCTGTTATGCACCCCAGCTGCGCAGACACTCCAGGTAACATCTGCTTGACACTCTGACTGTAATTCTTTCTTTTCAGGATTAGTCTCAAAGCAAAGAGAAATAAAACTTTCTAAGTGGATTTCTGCAACAGGTGCAGTGATTTCTTGGCTCCAAATTGGTGCTTAAAGTAGTTTTGTACCCCCTTGATAGCTCTGTTCTGCACAGTGTCTGCTATCTGTGTATATCCAGAGAATAATAATGGGCAATGAATGGTTCCAGCCCTGCGCAAACGCACAGCAGAGCCACAATGCTTTAAGCTAACCTTTAAATTACATTTGTAGAAGGACTGTCAAACACAGATAGAGCTTCTGCCTCTGTAAGCACCAGCCTGCAGACACTGGGAATTTGCAAGGGCATGTAGGAAAATGGAGCATGCACCGTTGTGCAAGCTCTGTTCCTCTCCTCTTCCTCTAAACATTTATTGCCATTGAGAAGCAGTGAGTTTGTCCAGACAGCCCTTTGAGCTGCAGCTGTTCCTCAGTGACTATGGCTTGGCAGGCAGGCAGGCATCGGTTATCCAGTACGCATGTTGCATTCCTCAATACCTTACCAGCCTCTAACACCCAAGCTTGGGATGCAGACTACAATCCAATCTCTAGGTCTTTTCTAGGGACACGGTTTCCCAGATTTGCTTCTGATGACAGAAGCATTTACCCCATCTACTTTACACTTGAAAGTTGCCCTTTCCTACTAAAAGTATTTGTCTTTAAAATACATTTACTGTTGCATTGACTTTATGGATTTCAAGCCTAACGAACCATAAAGTTTCCCCACCTTAAAGTTCAAGGACTCTGCAACCCCCAAAAATAAACAGCTGCGAGGGATGGGCCTTCAGTCATCATCTGTTTGATGAAATAAAAAGTTTAAACGTGAATTATGTAATTGGTTTAGGTACTGATGACCCCACGGTTTTAAAATACAGTGCTGCAACTGGTTTCCTAAAAACGGTGAGAAAGTAAGAGCTAAAGATCCTGTTAGAATACCTGCATCTGGCTATTCTGTTTCCCCCACAGCTGACGTCTTTGCGCAGTCCAACCATTTCTATTAGAATATGAAGAATAACCTGTGCACAGAGGCCCACAGAGCTGATACTGTTGTGTGGTTGGCAGTGTCGCCAGAAGCAATGAATTTATTGAGCGATGTATTCTTCTCAGGTAAGGCAGCAGTCTTACTTTGCATAGCAGTGGAGATCCCTAAATTGCCTGAACTGTAGGATCCCCATCTGGCTTGGCAGGGAACGAAGGCCAGACCAGGCAACCATTGTTCAAAGGACGAAGTATTTCTCAAAATCATTCCAAGACTAAAGGTTCAAGTGAGCATTGTGTAACCAGAGAACAAATGTGTTAAGTTGTTATGATGTCCCTGTTTTTTTCCTCTAAAGTAGCTGATAAAGACTTCAAAGCTTTCTTTAGGGAGAGTTGGGCATTTTTTAACGAAAATGGCTGTAAGCAGGGCTGTGCCAAGGGAAGGTGAATCACAGCTGTCAAACACCATCTTTTACAATGCAGGGGAACTAACATCCTTCTCACAGAGCACTGGGGGTTGGCTTTGCTTTGATAGGCTTTTCTTGCCATTCCATGATAGTTAAAACTGCCAATTCCCCTTTCTCTAATACTGGGAGACTTGAGCACAGTGGCATTTTTGGCACTATAAGCATAGGGAATGGAAAAATAGGGCAGAGCCTTTCTTTTCTCCCAGACAAATGTCAGGCATCTTAGTAGTAGCAGCTAGAAGCATAGATGTCTTAATGGTGATGCAGGTCAGTGCAGAAGGAGAAGGGTGAAGCTCAGGGTAATTGCTTACAGAAGCCCAGTACTTTTGTTGGATGTGGCCTCCAAATCCTGATTCACTGAATTTCTAGGTAGAAAATGCAGGAAATTCAGACTTTTCTGGATTTGGGTTGACTTTGTCCCTTCTGTTGCCTCCCAGACACTCAAACAGGGTTGGTTGACAGGTATTTAACCAGACCTCTTTTGTGTCATCATGTGGTGCATGCAGAAACTCCACATCCGAGCTGGTCAGTCTTCTTTGTAGAACCAGACTTTGCCTTTTTTGTACTCCTGTCACCTTCTGGTCCTAATGCTTCTGTTCAGTTGTTCTTTCTCCAAGACCATAATTCCACCAGGCTCTTGCCTTTAGCCTTTATCTACCCCCAGCTTTAGTAAACAGTCTTAGCTATAGCTAGGACTTTTGAGAGCTTTGGTCTCGGCATGACTGCTCTTAAGACTGCAAGAGAAGCCCTGTGTCTGTGTCCTGTGCTTGTCAAATAGTGATGAAGTCAGTTATTTCTCTCTCTCCTACTTCCCTTGGAAACCACAGCTTAGTAGGGACCCTCTTCAGCCTCTTTCAGTAAAGGGCTTTGTGCAGGAGCACTTTACACAGACCCTCATCTGGTCCCTTTGTTCATCTGGCCCTAGACAGTCTTTTCCTGAACCAGTCACACCTTCGCTCCATTTCCCCTGTTCTCTTTTATTCTGTTCCCTTTGAGTGCAAAACAAAGCCAATATTTCTTTTGTTTTCCCTGAGGAAAAAAAAAGGGAAGTGAGACTTGTACAACCAAGATTCACTGCATCTGCCAACATAAATAAAGTGTTTGACACAATCCAGCTTTCCAAGGACTAGAAGCATCTTCTCCATGATGCTGAACTTGACTTTCACACATAGTTCCCAAACCTTAGCACAGGTTACTGGAAGCACTACGGTTAGGTAGCAAGCAGTTCATGTTCAGTGATGGGGAAGAGAACGTTCCTTTGCATATTTCTCTCTCTCCTCAGTTTTCCATGAGCAGAGGTTATGTGGTGCGTGCAGCCAGTTACAACATTTGCTCTTAAGAGAGCAAACATCTCTGCTCCTCTGGGAAGCCTGATAGGTTTTCAGAGAAATCTGCTGCCCAGTGTTGCAACAGCTTGTTCTTTTGGTCTCAGCTGGCTACTACAGAAGTTGGACTTATTAAATAGACTAACAGTGCTGCACCAGTGCTCTGACTGTTGTTGCACAGACATCTGAGAGCATCGTCATAAGGTTTCCAGGCTTTAGATACCATGTTCTTGGAAAGAAAAATCCCTTAGAATGGATGGTGATATAGCTGTATTTCCAGAGTGAGTGAAGAGTGTGAGATTTGGAAAACTAAGCAAAGCATCAAGTTGGGAAATTATGATCAGACATCTTTATGCTGAATACATGTTACTTCTGGTGATTATGCAATTAGCTCAAGTTCTTTAGCATTTAGAATTTAACCATTATTTTCAAGGATGAAAATAAGCATTTTAAAACTGAAAATAATCCAAACTACAAGGTCCCAGTTGGGGAATCTGTGTAGCACTAGAAACATTATCCGGGAGGCAAGGAAAAACCCTGTCTCATGCTGCAAAAGCAACCTCTGCCTGCAGCAATAATTTCAAGTTATTGGTCTGCAGGAGTTGCACTAGTGACAGGGAGCAGGAGGCATAATCCCACAGTAAGGCCTTCCTTTATCTGTACTGCCTCGAGCTACAGCTGAGCTCTTGCTCCCCAGTCTAAGCCATATCGTGCTAAAGAACAAGTACTCTAGTCCCAGAATACAAATGAAATTAATTTGATTTTTGTTTTGGAAGATATGTTTAACTAACGGTGTTTACAGATCCCTAGAGGGTAAGTTTCCTGCCTTTAACACCATGAGGTATATTTGGGCTGTATAGAGCCTTGAGGAAAAATATCTCTGTGCCAGAAGAAGTAGTTAAATGTATCCATAAGGACTCTTGCATTTCACCTTCCAGACAGGCAACCAGCCTCTACACACTTACCCCTGGCAAGCACTCACAGTCCACTGGAAGATGAGGAGAAGCTAATGGAGGTGCTGGAACAGTTCTCCCAGAAGTTTAAATCCACTCCTGCAGGAACTTAGTGTCATTGGCAACACAGTGCAACTGCAAAGCTGCTAATTGCACAGTAGCAGTACTGCAGTGTGCTTGCTGCTGAGGGGAAGAAGGATGCCATCAGCCTGTTACAAAAAAATTGGGTTCAGGTGTTCTCGTCATGGGGGAGAGTGGTGCAGAGTCTCTCCCACTGTGAATATGAACCTGCTGTCTTGAGACACAGTATACTTGTGTTCTTTGAGTTAGAAGAAAAATGGGGAGGCATTAAAGTAAAACCAAGGCTTGGTGAAGTCACCCACAACCATTTAAAACACTCAACTTAGAGAAATAGAGAGGAGCATTCCCTCAGTAGCCCTTGTGAAGGACATCAGGGAAGAAGTAGTAAATGTTTTAAGCTGTGTTTGACTACTGTATTTGACAGGCTGCTGGCTTCCTTCACTGTGTGAGAGCGACTGAGCTCAAACCTACAACTGGGAATGCAGAAACTCACCCTTGCATCACCTGCTTAGTTTAAACGGAGGGATTCCTCACGGCACTCAGTTTCTATAAATCAATGCTGGTATGCAGAAGTGGCCTGCTTCCTCATGTTTAAACAGCAAGAATTTAGGAACGCTGCCAAATGCCTTCCACATTACTTTATGGGGCCAGGGCTGAATATTATCCTGTTTATGTCAAGACACCATGAAGTAGGAGGTTTCAACATATACCAAAACCAGACATGTCAGGATCCAGCAGAAAAATGGCTGCAGACTGTAGGCATGAAAAGAAATAACATGCTAAGACACCCATGCTTGCTATTTCTGTGATAGATCAAAGGGAATCCCTTGGTCATTATGAATGGATTAAGAGGGGGAAGGGAACACTGGGGGCACAGGTTTTAGAGAAGTCCTCCTCCTGATGAGAGGGTTGTATTTCCAGACACAAAGGATGGGATTTGCCTTACCTGAGCTGTGAACATTTGAATTACTCATTGGGATTCTCAGTGTAAATCAGTTGAGAGAAAACAGGCTTTTTCACAGTGATTTATTCAACCTAGGCTAAGAAAAACCACCTGTATTCCTACATCTTTCTACAGGTGGTGAAGACAATCAGCTCAGACTAAGACATTCGGTGGGATTAATTTTGCCTCACACATTTCAGATTTACTACACAGACAAGACTATTAATACAATAGTGGTAACACGTTTTCCCCTGACGAGTGGGTTTGATAGCAGACTGCATACAGCACCCAACCAAGCTGCACTACTGTTTTACACCTAGCTGCAGACCAGTGTGTAGGTCAAAAGACCTAGACACAAATATAGCACAGGCACTCCTGGGCTCTCTGCAGTGAGTGGCAGCTAAAAGCCATGCTGATGGGCAGAGGAGAACGCGTTATGTCTGCCTTACCTAATTTAGTTTCCCGAAAGATTTTCTACTGGCTGATGGCGTTTACTCATTATTCAAAGACATCCTATGAAGTGTCAGTTAGTTAGAAAAAAACCCGCTTTTCAGCCTATTGTCAGTCTCCTTGAAAATAAAGGCTTTGCTGTCAGAGAGGCCCTGAAATAAGTTTTCCCATGATAAGTAGTGCTGAGGTAAGTCAGGCTGTGACAGCTCTTCCTGAAAGGCTGGATCAGCATTCAAATTGTTGCTTCATTTTAGAAACTTAACTCCTTCTCGCACTACAGTGAAAGAAAACAACAGCAAGGCTTATACAGACATTTATTTCCTAGAAGTCCGGTGTTAACATTTTATATGGTTCAAACTGTTAAATACAGTTACTGAAAACAAGAGCATAGCTGGAAGTGTGTATAGTAACTACAGTTCTCAACCCAGTAGCTGCAAGGCTAATAAAAACATTTGTGTTATTATTTCAGTCAACTTGCCACTCAGCTCTGCAGTATAAAAGAAAAGTTTAATGACTGGTATTTAAATAGTTCATAAAAATAACCCCAAAGTGCACAATATATATATAAAAACCACACACACTTCAGTCCACAGTCTGTACTGATGCATTTGAATAATCTGGTTTTGTCTTTTTAGTCACAGCTTGAAAATGAAGCCAAAGGTATGAAAACTGCTTTAATCAAAGTTTGGTCACAGTTTAAAATAGCCAAATACTATGGTTTAAGAGCACTTGTGATTTAAAAAGAATTAAAACACAGGACAGGAATTAGAAACAAAATCCAGAGTCTCCCATGTTTTGGTGTTATGGTCCTGATGATGCTTTATTTCAGACCTTTTCCACAAAAGCAAACACAGGACGGGGCTGTAAAGACAGCAAGATGCTTTGTGTTAATGCAATTCAGAAGAACTTGTACCTGCACACAAGCAAATACTTTTAGTGCCACCTGTAAAATTTTAAGGGGAAAAGAAAAATGGCATCCAGTGACAGATGAGCAGGAATAGAAGGTGGTGCAAATTCTTGATAAGCAGTGAACACTGTGGGCTTGAGTACACACCTGGTTTATAGGAGCACAAGAAATCTGGAGAGGGACTTTAGGGATACGAGAAGGAGGAATGGTTTTAAACTGAAAGAGGTGAGATTCAGATTAGATATTAAGAAGGAATTGTTCCCTGTGAGGGTGGTGAGGCGCTGGCATAGGTAGCCCAGAGAAGTTGTGGCTGCCCCATCCCTGGCAGTGTTCAAGGCCAGGTCGCATGAGCCTTTGAGCAACCTGGTCTAGTGGAAGGTGTCCCTGCCCATAGCAGGAGGTTGGAACTAGACAATCTTTAAGGCTGCTTCCAACCCAAACCAGTCTCTGACTCCATGAAAAGGTAAGGCTCAGCCCAGCAGCAGTGCAGTGGGACTGGCTGCAGTGGTGCAAGGGCCACTGAAATGTCTGTCTTGGGTAAAAGTTTTAGGAGGTCAGTGTAACAGAGAGCAGGCAATTTTGTAAACTGCATTTCCTCTTCTCCTAAGTTTCATTTCTGGGCCATGTTTATTCTTTTTAGAAACCCTCACCATTTAATCAACCTAAGTTGATTAAACATGCAATTTATTAGTTATTTAGAACACACAAAGAGCTGTTTGTCATCTGCTTTAGAGTAAGAGGACATTTCCATACATACCTCGCTATTCTGGAGTAAGCTGCAAATACCATCTCTATGCATTTGTACCCACCAGCTTCTGTGCTGCTCCAACTCTCCATGCTTACACCATTCCACTCACTGGGAATAGGATGGAAGCAGGGATACCCTTTCCTATTAAACAAGACTCGGGTGGGATGTTGAACATGTACTACCTGGGCTCAGAGAGGGGAGTTTTGCTGTAGACTTCAATGTAGACAAACTTAGGTCAGTGCCAGAAAACTCAGTGTAAACAATTTATTTGCTGGGACCCAACCCTGGGCTGGACATTTCAATTCTCAGTTCAATCTCTAACTGTATTTTTGGAATGACAGAGCATGTTTTTAAAGCCAGAACAGTACTAGTTTTCATTAACCAGTATCTAACTCAGAGAGTGGAGAGCAAACACAGAGTTACCCTTTCAGAGAACAACCCAGTGGTCATTGACTCCAGTGGAGAAGGGCAGCTATAAATCAGTTTAATCCTTAAGTTCCTTTCACCTGTGCCCTTCTTCCATTCCCCCTGTGTTTTGCTCTCACATGCTCCCTGCAAAACTAAACCCGCCTTCTCCTGACACCAGATCCTATTTACCTAAATTAGTCCTGCTCAACATACACTCACTGCCTTTTTAAACAAGCTGTTACCACTCTGATTGACAGCAGGAAGCTTCACATCTCCCCTGGCTCAGCTCAGTGTATTTTCCTCTGTGTCTATCATCAGGCTTACACCACTTGTTTTGCTGGGAGAGGTAGTCCTGTGTGTGCTTGGGCAGACTCAGTGACTGATTACAGGAGATAATTTTGGAATGTAAAAAAGACAACTTGAAAACTCTATTCCTGTGGTCATCCTAACAGCACAAGATCAGACAGTGAGAGAAAGAAGGTGTTGAAAAGGCAAGGAGCCTGTTGGGGGAGCAAGCGTAACAAAAAAGAACCACTTCTGGGACTAAAAGCCACCAAATCCAAGAGCTTCGATTTGTGAAGTAGGTCAGTATTTATCTTCCTCTCTCTAGAGGGAGCCTTCAGATAAAAGTTAGGAAAAATAATGTGTTCTTGTGAAGGAAACTTGTTTTCTCTCAAGGCAAAAGCTCATGCACAAGCCTTACAAAGAGATATAGTGTCATCTGGGCCAAAGGTCTTCAGCAGGTTTTCATCCTGCTGTCATAAGGAACAACTTAAATCTTTGCTGTGACAGCAGTGTCAGTGGTATTTCACAGCTAAAAACATTGCCAGAACAGAGGGGGAGTGATAAAACCTGCTGCACTGCTGCAAACTTCAGAGAGGATGCTCCCAGGAAGCAGCGTTTTCCTTGATGATAAAAAATCATCTTCTTGAGCATCTTCCCTTTACTTTCAAGTTGAGATTCTACAGGGAGCCTTGGGGCAATGCAGAAAATCCTGCAATTCCTTCACTGTCCAAACATACTGCTTCCCTTGGCTGCTCACCTGCTGCCAGGTAGTTGGAGTGAGAATTCATCATGGCAAAGGAATGACGCCACTTGCCCATACAATAGTGGTCAGTTTTATGACAACTCACAGAACAGGGACGATAATGGGTCCAGGCAAAACTCAGTAACCCAAGTCCCTCATTACATATCAACACACACATAGAGAAGGAAAGTAATAGCCAGAAGCTGATAGAAATTAATTTGGTGGGATTAAACTATCACAATTTATTCAGTTACGTTGGAGACACATATTTACACACTGGAAGAGAACTGGGAGGTGTTACAATACAATTAGAAGAAAAGATGGTCAAATTGCAGAGCTGTGCTCCTAGAAAACACTGACATGAACAAAACCTAGCAAGATTTTTTTTTCCATGTAAAATCCCACTATTCTGAAAGACAACAAGCTCCACAAGATACTGGTCAGTAAGTACAGTGTACTAAACTTGCCAAGTAGAGTGAGAAGCAATGCTCAGCCCTTGGAAAACTAAACCACTCCTGAAATTAGTGATAACAACAAAGGTGAATCATG